TTTCTTCATTGCTGCATCCAACAGATTATTTCTTTGTGCTTTTCTTTCTCCCATGTGTGGCCAAAATAAACTTTTCTAGATTCCAAGTATGAGTGAGATCATACAGTACTAATCTTTTTGTGCATGTCTTATTTCACTTAATAATATGATCTCTTCCATTCATTTCACACTCAATAGGATTTCATTCTTTTTATGGCTGATTAGTATCCTATTGAGTATACATACCACATTCATCAGTTGATGCACATTTAGGTTGATTCCATATCTTGGCTATTATGAATAGTGCTGCAGTAAACATAGGAATGCAGATGTCTTTTCAAAATACTGATTTCATTTCCTTTGAATATGCACCCAGGTGTGAAATCTATGGGAGGTATACACACACACACACAAACACACACATATTCTATTTTTAAGCTTTTAGGAACCTCAATACTGTTTTCCATGGTGGCTGCACTAATTTACATTCTAATCAACAGTTTGCAAGAGTTCCCTTTTTCCCATATTCTCGCCACCACTTGCTATCTTTTGATAATAGCTGTTCTTAGTGGACTGAGGTGATAATTCACTGGTTTTGATTTGCATTTCCTAATGATTGATGATGTTGATTATTTTTTCATACACATCTTGGCCATCCATATGTCATCTTCTTTGGGGAAATGTTTATTTAGATCTGTTGCCCACTTAAAAAACTGAGTCATTCCCTTTTGAGTTCCTTAATATTTTGATATTAACCCTTTGTCAGATGTATAGTTTTCAGATATTTTCTCCCATTCTTTAGAATGTATCTTCACTCTGATAATTTTTCCTTTGCTGCAGAAGCTTTTTAGTTTGATGAAATTCTATTTGTCTATTTTTGCTTTTGTTTCCTATACATTTGAGATTTTGTCAAAAAAAAAAAAAAATCCGGACCTATTCTAATGCACTGCTATGTTTCCCCTATGTTTTCTTCTAGAAGTTTCAGTTTAGGTCTTTGATCCATCTTGGATCTGTTTTTGTAGGTGATAAAAGGACAGATTCTAGTTTCATTCTTCTGTAAATGGATTCCTAATTTTCCCAGTACTAGGAATGAAAAAGACTCTCCTTTTTCCAATGTTTGTTCTTAGCACCCTTGTTTAAAATTAGTTGGCTATAGATGTGTAGGGATGTTTCGGGGCACTCACTTATTCATTGGTATGTGTGTCCACTTTTATGCCAGTATTGTGCTATTTTAGTTACTGTACTTTTGTAGTATATTTTGAAGTCAAGTATGTGTCAAGTGTTATGCCTTTACTTTCTTTTTGCTCAAGATTGCTTTGGCAGCTGGGTGTGGTGGTGCACGCATGTAGTCCCAGTGGCTCAGGAGGCTGAGGCAGGAGAATCACGAGTTTAAAGCCAGCCTCAGCAAAAGCAAGGTACTAAGCAACTCATTGAGACCCTGTCTCTAAATAAAATACAAAATATGGGGCTGGGATTGTCGCTCAGTGGTAGAGTGCTCACCTAGCACATGCAAGGCCCTGGGTTCAATCCTCAGCACCACATAAAAATAAATAAATAAAACAAAGATATTGTGTTCAACTACAACTAAAAAGTAAATGTTTAAAATAAATACATAAATAAATAAAATACAAAATAGGATGGGAATGTGGCTTAGTGGTTGAATACCCCTGAGTTCAATCCCCAGTACCAAAAAAAAAGAGAGATTGTTTTGGCTATTAGAAGTCTTTTGTGCTTCCATATAAATTTTAGGATTGTCCCTTCTAGTTCTGTGAAAAATGTCATTAGTATTTTGTATTGCATTGACTGTAAATTGCTTTGGGATATATGAACAATTTAACAATATTCTTTAAACCATGAACATGGTAAGTCCTTCCTATTCTTTATTTGTATGTATCCTTCAAGTTCTTTCATCAGAGTTTTATAATTTTCATGGTAGATGTTTTTACTTTCTTGGCTAAATTTGTCCCTATGTATTTTATTTTTTGGTAATTATCATAAATGGGATTCCTTTCATGCTTTCTTTCTCAGCAGTCTTGTTATTGATGTATAAAAATGCTACTGATTTTTGTAAATTGATTTTGTATTCTGCAAGTTTACTCGATTTTTTATTGGTTATAATAGTCCTTTAGTCTTTAGTTTTTTTGTATTAGAATCATGTCATCTGCAACAGGGATAATTTGACTTCCTTCCTTTCTATTGTTATGCCTCTTCTTTTTTTGTCTTTCCAATTGCTCTAGTTGTTTCTAGTACCATGTTGAATATTAGTGGTGAGAGTGCACACCCTGTCTTATTCCAGATTCATCATGCTACTATGATGTTTTCTGTGGGTTTCTTTTTAAATATTTATTCTTAAGGCTTTAGGTGGATACAATATCTTTATTTTACATTTATGTGGTGCTGAGGATCGAACCCGGTGCCTTGTGCATGCTAGGCGAGCATTCTACCACTGAGCCACAACTCCAACCATTCTGTGGGTTTCTTTTTTTTAATCTTTATTTATTTATTTTTTTATGTGGTGCTGAGGATCGAACCCAGTGCCTCGTGCATGCCAGGTGAGCGCACTACCACTTGAGCCACATCCCCAGCCCCCCTGTGGGTTTCTTATAGCTAGTCTTAATTATATTGAGGTGTTGCTTCTGCAGTCAATTTGTTCAGTGTAGATAAAAAATGCTTTTTCTCAGGCTGGGGTTATCACTCAGTGGTAGAGCACTTGCCTAGCACATGTGAGGCACTGGGTTCAGTTCTCAGCACCACATATAAATAAACAAAGGTCCATTGACAACTAAAAAAATACTTTTAAAATGCTTTTTCTCCATCTCCAGAAATAGATATGATTTTTGTCCATCATTTTGTTGATGTAAAGTATTGAATTAATTTATTGAATTGTATATGTTGGGGCTGGGGATGTGGCTCAAGCAGTAGTGCGCTCGCCTGGCATGCGTGCACCCGGGTTCAATCCTCAGCACCACATACAAACAAAGATGTTGTGTCCGCCAAAAACTAAAAATAAATATTAAAAATTCTATCTCTCTCTCTCCTTCTCTCTCTCTCACTCTCTCTTTAAAAAAATGAATTGTATATGTTTAATGATCTTTATATGCTTGAGCAAAATCTAGCTTAATCATAATGAATGATCTTTTTGATATGCTGTTGAACTCAGTTTGCTGAGAACTTTTACATCTACTTTTATTTGAGACATCACGC